TAAGATCCCAAGTACAAAAGAGTCCTCTCTGACGTTTGCACAAAGAAAGTTATATCAGCCAGAAGAAAATTCTCTATGAGAAGCCGAGGAGAAAAGCGATACGAGAAATTAATTGTAAGCAAATTCATTCATTGATCGTCACACATTCTAAAAGAATGTCTTTGTAGGACGCTAGAACGGGGTTGATTTGTTTAATTAAAGAGATAGGCACAAAACTGTTTGTGCTCAGCCAGATTCACACTGGCCGAAACATTTTAAAAACAAGCATTTATGATATAATTACCGAATGAAATTTTTGTGAACATATTGGCCGCCCGTTACTAATCGAAAGATTAGTTGAAAAAAACAAAAGACTGCGCAACAGCGCGGAGACTTTCCGCTATAGTGTGTGTTTGAAATGACACCCACAATATATTAATGTTGTTTTTAGCTCTTTAAGTATTCAGCAGAGAATTCCAAAATTTCAAACGTTTATCTCCAAATCAAAGCGGTCTCCAAGCATGCAAATTTGCACGTCCGTTACCATTTCTTTATAAACAACGTAATAAAAGACCGGCTTTGTGACGTCAAATAAACCACTCAAGGGAGATAATGTGAATCTCAAAATATTAATTCTCATTACCGATTGCCGTAAACTGCTTCGATTTTACTATTGGGAATCTAGAATTACATCAAACCATGATATTAATTGAGAATTTAAGGATTAATGAAAAGCGATTTCAGTTAAATTTCCGGTTTCCTGGGAATCCTCTTTATGTAATCTTTCAAAGAACTGTGTCACGAAAAGCATATTAGGAAAAAAAATTGTCTGATCGAATTTTTCGTTCGAATTCCACTCAGTCTTCTCCAATCTTCATCATCCTTCTGCCGGTTTGTTTTATTTTCATCCCGTGAGTGTTTTTCTACCGCAATAAACTATTATTTTGGGGGGGGAAAAAAAGAATTATTTTGGCTTCGAATTGAAGGCGATTTTGCACATTACAATAATTGAATGATCTATGGTATGCTTGCGCCCCGATCAGTGTATGGCAACAAAACCCCGTTTATGCGGGAAAGAAAAACAGGAAGTGTATATTGGCTAAAATCGTTTAAATAAGCCAACTGGTCAGACAGAAAGCAATTAGCGCGCTGTGGAAGCAAGGTAAGACTTTCGTGTTCACGAATCTTTCTTATTTCTTGCTTCGTTTGTGCATTTGTGTGACTATACTTCATTTTGAATCATCTCTCTCCAAAAGCGCTGAGATCGATAACCTTAGAGCAGTTTAAGTTTCAAAGAGAGCAGAACATTAGATTTCCTCTGAATAGTCTTTATCCGAATGGTCATCCGCCGGCCGGGGACTTAAATTAAGTCAGAACCACCTTGTACATCATAATAAACAGTACCACATGAAAGTAATCCTCAATAGCTTCCATTTGAATCATCACACTAGAATTTCATCCACAGACTTAAAAGTTAGAACCACCTTGTACAGCATAATAAACAGTACGCTGACAGGACCACATGGAAGTTCTCCTGTTTAAATAACGACGACGAATTTAATACATTTTCCGGTAGTAAAAATAATTTATTGGATTATGGGGTCAAGCATTTTCCAGACGTCTAACCAGACACGTGCACCGAGTTTTATCTTACATGCATGAGTTCACAGGAGGTCACTGGCTAAAGATATCACTAATTCTTTGTAAAGCACTGTGTGTACACAGTACCGGGAATTCCGATTTTTCGAACCTCTAAAGGAAACGAAAATTGGTTGGAGAAATCGGTCGTGGCGAAATTAATGCTCGACTGAGTACAGGGAAACGACTTTTGGTTCGAGTTATCGAGAGGTTCGAAAACTCGAGTGTTCAAAAAGTTGGAATTCCACCGTAACTTCATCGCTGATAAGTTGCGAACGAAGACTGACAAATTCATACGATGGTAAGTGCGTAGTTTTCATGGTTGCTTAAAAACAATATTTGCACAGTATTACAGTGCGACTTCTCTAAACAAGGCCGTCCGACAAAATGTTCTTCAAATTGAACGAATAAAATTGTGGATGTTAACAATAGTTTTCAACAAATTATCCATGTAACTAAGCTGTAGATTACAAAGGCAACAAATTTGAGGTCACTTTGATTAGTAACTATTTTAAACCTTTTAAAATGCCATTGGTCAATTTGCAAAGAATTTTGTTAAGTGCCCTTGGTAGTCACACTGTAACGACTGAAAAGCGAGAGGAATACACTATAATAGGGAAAGAAAAAAAATGTGTAAAGCAAAGTACTTCAAGAAAGGTTTTGTTTTCCAAGTGGAATTAAAATTCACAATCATGGTTGTATGTTCTTTTACTTCACAGCCGATTGAAATTCGAAATGGCTCATTCCACAACGGAACCTCCACCGACGGAGTCAGCAGTCGTGAAGGAACACTTACGACGCTTTAAACTCGTCATGTACATTCTGATCCTAGTAATCAGTGTCCTGGCCAACACATTCATGCTCTTAGTACTCTGGAGGAAATTTCGCCGACACAGAAAAACAGCCAAGAGTTTTATCGTGTTGATGCAGAACCTCGCCTTATCTAGCCTCGTTCTCGTGCTAGCCTCCATTCCATTCGACGCTGTCTGGCAGGAGTCGGACACGTGGCCGTTCGGTCCCGGGGGGTGCAAGATTCTGTGGCCATTACAGACTGCTTCGTTGCAGGCTATGGTGTACACTTACGTGGCTCTGGCGTATCATAGATTCTATGGCGTGTCAAAGTAAGTGCGTGACTTTCTATACTCATGTATCTGGTCCGGCATTCTCTCTCCTCCACTGAGGCTTCCTAGGGGAGGGGGAAGGGAATTGGGAGTGGGAAGACGCTTGGAGGACGATGGGAAATTCCACCTTCCCGGAGTTCCCCCCGCGCTTCCGTTATTCCCGTTCGCCAGCCTCCAAACTGCCAGAGCCCACACGGTCAAGGCAGCACAAAAGAGGCCTCAACTGAGGACAGAGTCCGACATTATTGGGCGGGAAGTGGAGGGGAGGTGGGGTTGGGTTGCAAGAAGGCAATTTGAAAAACGTTTTCCTTTCTTTCGCCCTTCTCTTCTGTGATCCCCTCGGGAAGCTCTGCGGTGACAGAGGAGCGATGTTGACCTCAGTCTTTATTTCTCCATTACAGAAATCTCCTTGGTCAAATGAAATTCATCTACGCTGTCGTGACCACGTTCTTTATATGGATTGCGGGTATCATAACAGTTATTCCATTGGTGCTAAACTTGGATTACAACTACGGAAACCATACCTGTGACAGGAATTGGAACTCGCAATCAAGCCGTCAGGGGTACACCATCTCTCTGTTGCTGCTGGATTACCTACTGCCGCTTATCGCTCTGCTCATTTTGTACGTGATGGTCTGGGGACGACTCCAAAGGTAATCGTCTTATAGCTGGATTATCAGTAAAATACAAGTAGCCTCGCATTTTTCAGGGTTGGTTGAGAGGGCGAATACACGAGGGCACGTGAAAATCACCTCGAATAAGTTACGTCCAGCCTACGTCAGAGGAATTTGAAAACGGAGGTTTCACTCTGAAAACGCACCAACTGTTTTCCGTCCGGTCCACACTACTACGCTGGAGGAATTTAAAAACGCTACAATCACCGCTCATTTTGGATTTGTGTTTGAGGAAACCTCGGTCAGGAAAATCACCTAATTATCGTGACGCCTTCGTTTTCAAAGAGCTCCCTTTTGAAAATGTTCCGTCCACACGAAAACGAAAAGCCGGCGTTTTCAAATTTCTCCGGTTTGAAGAGCGTTTTCGAAAAGCTCCGTTTTCTTGACGGATTAGCGTGGACGGTAGACCTAACCGCAGAGATAAAGCTGCGTTTTCTAATTTCTCCGGCGTAGTGCGGACGCTACCTTGCACCAACAAAATCTTGTAATTACTTATTTTATCTGTTTTACTTCAGTTATAAAATCCTAGATCCTGAACGCGCCAGCAGAAGAGACCGCCATAGCCGTATCGTGCGAATGATGGCATCATACGTCATCGTGTTCGCCTTCTTCCTTCTGCCTCATCAAATCATGTCGTTAATTCAGGATTTCGGCAACGGCGACGAAAAACTTTACTTCAAAGACGCCACGTATGTCTTGAACATCTTCACATATGGCCTCACTATCGCAAACCCCATTCTGTTCTTTGTCTACAACCCGGAATTCAGACGCCATTTTTGGCATTTCTTCAAATGCCATTGCATCACGAAGAGGGAGAGGTTCAGCATCGAAAACTTGTCCGAGTCCTTCTCGGAAGAATCCATCGGACCTCGAAAACCTCAGTTCCAGCCCCCGCCCAAGTACGAGATGCATGAAAAGAAGGAAAACAACTACGTCTCCACGCCAACCATTCAGCACTCCGAAACGAGCAGTCTGCCGCGTCATGATTCAGGGCTTGGATTGGTTGAAGCTGGCCTGTTTCCTTCGGCGGTGGATCGAATGCGCACAGCGGGGAAGTACCGCGAGTCCACGCCTTCAGCGTCCCCGCCGGGTTCGGATGTGGTTAGTTACACGGATGCGAGAGATTCAGTGGACCAAGGTAGTGAAATGTTATAAGTTAGTTATGCGTGCAAACAGAGCTTTGGGGTTTAGTAGAGACTATATATAAAGGACCGTGTCGATTTCGGACACCTGGAGAAGATACCGGCCTAAACGTTATACACGAGCAATGAAACATTGGGACGTTTTACATCTCGCCTTCCAAGTCGTTATGCTCGTTTATCTTCACCTGAACTTACTACTCTAGGCCGTATTTCGAAACATAAATTCTCCTAAGTGATTTTCACAGATTGCTTGTAATGTTAGTTGAGAGAATTTGGTATTATATCTAGACGATATCCCTTAGTGAATGAGTTTCTCTATACTCGACATCTCCGTTAATACGGTCACCTTGAATTACGGCCATTGTATTCCGGCCCGAACAAAAGCTCAGTCAGTCATTTTCTTATTTAAAGAACCCCTCGTAAACTAAACCAAAAACCAAAGTACTCTTTGGAGAAAGAGGTAAGCAATATTTCATGTCATTGATTTGTGAAGAAACTCCAAACAGTGTTAACCATTTTATAGCTTGCTTAAGCCTTTTGATTCCCTGAGGAACACAGGGCCGCAACCATTTTATAGCGGTGAATTTAAAATAAGGATACTTTAGAAAGCAACACTAACTTCAGTAAAGCACGATTTCAATGCAGCGAGAGTGTTGCTCACACATTTAGTATATGCAGAGCAGCACACGGGCAAACGTTTTGTGATTACAGAGGGTTGGCAGTCTCAGTTTAGCTCGGGAAGGCCTGTTGTGAACTTGACCTTGAGTGATATGAAATATGTTGGCTTAGTTTCTTGGAATTTGGGAGCAGTTTGACTATGACGCCAAAAATTGCATTTCGGTTGTGTCACACATAGTTTATCTACGACGAAAGTTCTGTAGAATGCTATATTTTACCAGCTTAGCACATCAAAGCTAAAAGAAAAAACGTAACGAGTCTGGGAAGGCTAGCGGCCCGCTGGAAAGGAGGCGGTCGTCGCTTCCTAACGCGGGCTCTCAGGGCTATTTCCAGTCCTCCCGCTGCCAGACACAGACAAGTATTTCACACATCGACAACATTAGCAAAACTGAGTGTTTTCTTCTTCTTATGTATAAAGGAACCTCGTCTCTTCAAAACAGTATTTTTCCATCAGTAATGTTTCTTAGTGGCTTTAAACCAATCAAATCGAGCGTAGCATGTTTCTTATTTTATGATTTGAAATCTTATTAAATGATTTTCCGTTGAAATGTAATGATTCATTTTTCAGAATCAGGCTATATTTTGCAAAATACGTGAATGAGATCGCTTCATTTAACAGAATATCATTTAATAAGGTATTTATATAGTGTTGCTAGAATATTTACTTGCCAAAATGACACGAAATAAGCATTTATAATGTATTAATACCAAATAGTTGTGTGTTTCAAGATGGCGAAAACGCGGCAGATCGACTATTGTCGTTAGACAAGAAATATTTTAAATACTGATTACAATAATCGCAAGCAAAATGAACTTAGACAAATAAGCAATGCTACCGAGAAATACATAAACGACTTTCCCTTTGTAAAATCCAGGGATTTAATTCAGTTTCTTTTGATTAAATTTGGTTTTTGGGCGCTCAACTTGGTAAAAGTTGAGTTGATTTACGTATTCAATGTTAGCAAGAACACTTATGTATAGTTTCCAAACGTATTTCTCTGTTACCTAAGCAATAGACCGCAAGTTGTTATGGTTTATAGGCTGATAAACCACTTGGAATGTTGGAAGAACACTAGAAGAATTCGTAAATCACGAGCCGCAGGCTGGTGATATACGAATTCTTCTCGTGTCTTTCCAACATCCCAAGTGGTTTATCATGCCTCCAAACATGCGAAATTTCCATGAGTTTACTGGCACAATAATCCATAGCTGATTGACTAATCAGAGCGCGCGCATTCATTTAATTATTATATAAAAGGAAATATTATTGTTACCTACCTACTACTCGGGCCTGTTTCTAATATTGATGGGAATTCCTGTTTTATGATATTCAAAGTAATGGGTTCTTGTACACTTTTTTCTGTCCATGCAATATTTAATTGTATGATTTTATGAGCCTTTTGTACAATGAGTGGTTTGTTTAATAATTTGACTGTAGTGAGGAGTAAACAGTTTGGTATTTGAAGATCTACAATTACTTTATCTATAATTATTTACTGAGTCACTGGTTTTAGATAACCACTGTGAGAGCTTTAATAACAGAAAAATAATAAACGTTTTTGTGTTTTTCTCCGCTTCTAGTTTTCCTGTAACTAATTTATGATTGGTCGTTGATTTGAATAATACTCCGATACTCCTAGTTGGCTGCCTCATGTCCCGACTCCTCTTGTTATTTTGAGCTCGGTGCGCATGGAGTGATGAACCATGAAGAACTGCGCGCTCTGTTTCCCACTCTTCCCCGACGAAACGCAACGGCGCCCGGGGACGAGGCAGCCCAGTTGCTGAAAGTCAGTACGTCACGACGACTCAGCTTGAAAAAGTTGGTCGTTCGCAATCCGTCTTAATCTGCCTCAATCCCGATTATCCTTGCTTATTTTCAGTGTACTACTACTAATTTTGTGTTCTTCTACCCTAGAAGACAAGAATTTTGAGGTTTCGTTGAATTTAAAAGTGATTTTTCATATCAGAAAAATGACACAAAACTTGAACATGGATTGAGGCCTTCATGCAACGTTTTTACCCAAGTCTTGGGTGACAGTGTTTTTCGTTTTTGGCTTTATAATTCCCTTTTCAATCTAGAGTTGGCGACGAAGTGCGGGAAATATGCGAGAACGTAACCACACCAGAACAAGGCGATGAACTGCGAGAATTTCCAAGAAGTATATCTCCATTCTCCGTTGGTACTGTATCGGAAATATGTTCCTTATGCGACGCGACGTTTGATATATCTAGTTTGTCATCTAAAGCAATTCTTGCTTTCCATATCACTGCAGCGCGCGCGGTGTTTCTAAATGTCCTCATAGCTTTGCTCCCAGCTTGGTGGACATCAATCTGCGTCCTGCGGCAGAGAAGGATCCTCTTGTACTCCGCTCTAAAGGAACGATTCATGACACCGTATATAAAGGGGTTTAAGGCTGCGTTGAGGTAGCTGAGATACGTGCATAGTAAAGTCCTGGAGCGAGGCGGTGTCGTGTCAGGGGATACGCGATCCATTGTGATAACAACTAAACTTGGAATCCAACAGATCGCGAATCCGAGAACAGTCATGAAAAGAAGATTGGAGATCTTAATCTCTTCCACGGAGATATTCAAATCTCTATTTTGTCCCAAGAGCGAGGAGACCATAGAAAGCTGGTCCCTTCTTATGCGAACGAACACAAGCGAGTAGCTTACAACAATTGTTATAAAGGCGAGAATAACAAACACGAACTCTGCTAACGTTTGCACGAGAGTGTGCGCCACAGCACAAACCGCGTAACTAGGCTCATAACGCACGTGAGTCGCCTTGCTCACAAGTAACCCCGCGTAGAATGCAACGATCATAAGCCACACCACTCCTATGAGAAGCAGAGAGTTTTTTTTGGTGAAGAAGCGTTTGTAAATTGCAGGTTTCACCACACGAAAAAAGCGGTTTAAAGCCGTCAGAGCCAAAGTGGCTATGGACATCAAGGCCAAAGTCAAAATAGCAAACCCCTGAATGTCACAGAGCGCGCTAATGTTTATCCAATCTTCGGACACAAGTATCCCGCAAGTAATAGGGATACAGATTAGCGCCATAAGAACATCCGCGATAGCTAAAGCGAGAATAAACATACTTGCTGAAGTGCGCAGTTTGGGACTGCGAATCACCGCCAAGGAAACCAACACATTGCCAAAAAGCGCCATCATGTCAATCAAAATGCACACCGCAACCTCGATGATAATAATACCAATACTACGATGAGAGCCCTGCGACATAGAATCACTCGGCATGGCTGTTGAATTCATTGCCTGTTATGCCTAGTAATTCGAGTAGAGCGCATTGTCGCTAACAAGGGTTTAACTTTCGTTGTGTAGTAATAAAAGCGGGGTTAAAAGTTTTGACTTATTTTAATGCCAAGGTAAATGTTTGCGCCCAATCGCCGCACGGTCTCGCGAATTCAATTTGCGTTACGATCTTACCATCGATCCGTTTGTTTTGTAAATAAAAGCCCTTTATGAAAGTAGATACGGATTGGTGTCTTCTAGTTGAGTTTAATTCGTTTAATTTCTTGTTAAATGGCGGTTTTCCGCTGGAACTAAAACACAAAAAAAACGTTCAACTTTTTTCCGGCTGTATAGCATAGTTTCTGTCAGCTTTTAGTCACAACTTTGTTGACAACACTGTCGAGTAATTCTAGTATTGAAAAGCAGAAATTTGTTGAGTTCTTTGGCTGTTTCCACCCTTAAATACTTTTCCCTCTTTTGAGTGACACAAACTGATTACATTGTTTACATGTCGTGTATCCGAGCATAAAGAAACATTGAATTTTTTTCACATTTTTTTATGAGCATCACTTTCATTCCGGATTAATAGACAGTTTTCGTTTGACCTTTGCCGCTTTGTTTAATTCGAACGTGACTCTTCGAGCTTAGTGAGTTAAGAATGCTTCAACAAACAAACTTAACTTAACAAAAGAATATTGAGTCGTGGAAATATAAATGTCGTAACCAATGAAAGTTTTTCATTCCACAGCTCGTAACTTACTTAATCCCAGTCTTTCCCTCAAGAGGGTAAATAAAGAAGCCCTGGGAACTAGATTGCAAGAATTGGCCGGAGACTGCGTTCTGCTTAGCTTTCTGAAGTGGCGAGAATACATAAAATTAAGGCGAGGGTGAACATGAAGGCCGTATTTTTGCTGGGTATTATGGTTTGAATGTAAATATATCGTTCAGGTTTCAAGCGGTGAAAAATCTCTCTGCTCATTTCAGGTAGCTACGTTTTAGGCTGTTTTGTAAATTTTTTGGTGATTTTTGGGTATATTTCAGGATAAATAGTTTTTCTCAAAGGATTAATAAAATTTATGGAATTAAGAAATTTTGAAGATTTGATGTTGTTTTAAAATTAGAATTTGAAGTTAGAAATTGGTAGACGTACACCAGTTGCCCACCAACCCGGAGTGCCCTTTTGGGGGCAATCAACTGTCTGGTGGTGTTCCAAACCCCTTTTTTCCCCTTTTACACCCTCTTTAAACTTCCTAAAATTTCACTTAAATTCATGTTTACCCTCGCCTTAACTCGCGAACTGATCGGTTGAAATCGCGTCGCTTTTCGATCTCTCGACATAAAGCAAGACAAGGATAAGTCGAGTCCAGTTATACTCGGCCACTCGAAGTTCAACTGTACTCGCGTAAAAAGACGACGACTTGGGTTCGTACCTTCTCAACTATGTACGAATACAAGACGAGGACTGGTTGGGTTAGATCAATTTATATTCGGAAACCGTCGCAGCTCAAAGATGTACTCGTATAAAGAGGTCGAAGACTAGAGCTCGTGCCTTTCCGACCTATATGTACGAAAACAAGACGAGCACTGGTCGGGTACTCGTAGCTCACGAACTGAAAACGAGCGCCGGTCGAGTGCACCACTTCATTAGGGTACTCGAGTCTATGGTTGAAAACATTAATGAAACAAGACGGACAGCTTTTAATTTTGCTTAACTAGTGAACCCTTTACAAAATGTTTCTGTTTGGAATACAAACTCCATTGTTTACAATAGCGTTAAGAACATTGCCGGTACCCACAGCCGGCGGTGCCTCGCTTGTCTTGAGGAAAACGATAGAGTCACCCGCAATAGGTTTTTAGGTTGACGTGCCGTGTTTATGTCGCTGGTCTGTTGATATTTATTTATAAAGGCATGGCTAGTGGGGCACCAGCGACAGGAACATTTGTTTTAAGTTAGCGCTCTGTTGTCGTTACGTCAGGTTTTAAAATGGGTAATAACCAAACCACGGAACGTTTCCAAAGCCGAGCTTCGGTCAGTAAGAACCCCGCGGTGTCGTTCACAGGGCAGTGATAAAATATTCAGGGATTGCCTTGTTTGAATGAAAGGGAGCGTGCACAGACGTGGTGACCTTTACGGAACAGTTGGTTAAAACCAGGCAACGGGCAAGGTTTTAAAACATATTATCTCATTCTACCCACGAGAACGTGTTCTGGATTTGGAAATGAGCCCAGCGTTTGGCTCGTTGAAGAGGCTTCGGCGTTTCATGCACAAGTTTAATCTAAGTGGACTTCAACGGTAGAGACCTTTAACCAGTAACAGGGTCGATTTGCCATGACTGACAAAAGACTTAGAACAGGTAAGTGAAACGGGGTGAGTAGTTTTTATTCACCATTGAACAGGGTGCATTCAAAGGCGTTAAAGAACTTCTCACCAAATAGAACGCTTGTCAATACTTAGGAAATTCGAGAATTTTCATTGCACTAGCTAACCCAACTATCTCGGAATCATGCACAGTTCAGTTCTCGTTCATAACAAATTTCCAAGTCATTAGTANTATGACGCCAAAAATTGCATTTCGGTTGTGTCACACATAGTTTATCTACGACGAAAGTTCTGTAGAATGCTATATTTTACCAGCTTAGCACATCAAAGCTAAAAGAAAAAACGTAACGAGTCTGGGAAGGCTAGCGGCCCGCTGGAAAGGAGGCGGTCGTCGCTTCCTAACGCGGGCTCTCAGGGCTATTTCCAGTCCTCCCGCTGCCAGACACAGACAAGTATTTCACACATCGACAACATTAGCAAAACTGAGTGTTTTCTTCTTCTTATGTATAAAGGAACCTCGTCTCTTCAAAACAGTATTTTTCCATCAGTAATGTTTCTTAGTGGCTTTAAACCAATCAAATCGAGCGTAGCATGTTTCTTATTTTATGATTTGAAATCTTATTAAATGATTTTCCGTTGAAATGTAATGATTCATTTTTCAGAATCAGGCTATATTTTGCAAAATACGTGAATGAGATCGCTTCATTTAACAGAATATCATTTAATAAGGTATTTATATAGTGTTGCTAGAATATTTACTTGCCAAAATGACACGAAATAAGCATTTATAATGTATTAATACCAAATAGTTGTGTGTTTCAAGATGGCGAAAACGCGGCAGATCGACTATTGTCGTTAGACAAGAAATATTTTAAATACTGATTACAATAATCGCAAGCAAAATGAACTTAGACAAATAAGCAATGCTACCGAGAAATACATAAACGACTTTCCCTTTGTAAAATCCAGGGATTTAATTCAGTTTCTTTTGATTAAATTTGGTTTTTGGGCGCTCAACTTGGTAAAAGTTGAGTTGATTTACGTATTCAATGTTAGCAAGAACACTTATGTATAGTTTCCAAACGTATTTCTCTGTTACCTAAGCAATAGACCGCAAGTTGTTATGGTTTATAGGCTGATAAACCACTTGGAATGTTGGAAGAACACTAGAAGAATTCGTAAATCACGAGCCGCAGGCTGGTGATATACGAATTCTTCTCGTGTCTTTCCAACATCCCAAGTGGTTTATCATGCCTCCAAACATGCGAAATTTCCATGAGTTTACTGGCACAATAATCCATAGCTGATTGACTAATCAGAGCGCGCGCATTCATTTAATTATTATATAAAAGGAAATATTATTGTTACCTACCTACTACTCGGGCCTGTTTCTAATATTGATGGGAATTCCTGTTTTATGATATTCAAAGTAATGGGTTCTTGTACACTTTTTTCTGTCCATGCAATATTTAATTGTATGATTTTATGAGCCTTTTGTACAATGAGTGGTTTGTTTAATAATTTGACTGTAGTGAGGAGTAAACAGTTTGGTATTTGAAGATCTACAATTACTTTATCTATAATTATTTACTGAGTCACTGGTTTTAGATAACCACTGTGAGAGCTTTAATAACAGAAAAATAATAAACGTTTTTGTGTTTTTCTCCGCTTCTAGTTTTCCTGTAACTAATTTATGATTGGTCGTTGATTTGAATAATACTCCGATACTCCTAGTTGGCTGCCTCATGTCCCGACTCCTCTTGTTATTTTGAGCTCGGTGCGCATGGAGTGATGAACCATGAAGAACTGCGCGCTCTGTTTCCCACTCTTCCCCGACGAAACGCAACGGCGCCCGGGGACGAGGCAGCCCAGTTGCTGAAAGTCAGTACGTCACGACGACTCAGCTTGAAAAAGTTGGTCGTTCGCAATCCGTCTTAATCTGCCTCAATCCCGATTATCCTTGCTTATTTTCAGTGTACTACTACTAATTTTGTGTTCTTCTACCCTAGAAGACAAGAATTTTGAGGTTTCGTTGAATTTAAAAGTGATTTTTCATATCAGAAAAATGACACAAAACTTGAACATGGATTGAGGCCTTCATGCAACGTTTTTACCCAAGTCTTGGGTGACAGTGTTTTTCGTTTTTGGCTTTATAATTCCCTTTTCAATCTAGAGTTGGCGACGAAGTGCGGGAAATATGCGAGAACGTAACCACACCAGAACAAGGCGATGAACTGCGAGAATTTCCAAGAAGTATATCTCCATTCTCCGTTGGTACTGTATCGGAAATATGTTCCTTATGCGACGCGACGTTTGATATATCTAGTTTGTCATCTAAAGCAATTCTTGCTTTCCATATCACTGCAGCGCGCGCGGTGTTTCTAAATGTCCTCATAGCTTTGCTCCCAGCTTGGTGGACATCAATCTGCGTCCTGCGGCAGAGAAGGATCCTCTTGTACTCCGCTCTAAAGGAACGATTCATGACACCGTATATAAAGGGGTTTAAGGCTGCGTTGAGGTAGCTGAGATACGTGCATAGTAAAGTCCTGGAGCGAGGCGGTGTCGTGTCAGGGGATACGCGATCCATTGTGATAACAACTAAACTTGGAATCCAACAGATCGCGAATCCGAGAACAGTCATGAAAAGAAGATTGGAGATCTTAATCTCTTCCACGGAGATATTCAAATCTCTATTTTGTCCCAAGAGCGAGGAGACCATAGAAAGCTGGTCCCTTCTTATGCGAACGAACACAAGCGAGTAGCTTACAACAATTGTTATAAAGGCGAGAATAACAAACACGAACTCTGCTAACGTTTGCACGAGAGTGTGCGCCACAGCACAAACCGCGTAACTAGGCTCATAACGCACGTGAGTCGCCTTGCTCACAAGTAACCCCGCGTAGAATGCAACGATCATAAGCCACACCACTCCTATGAGAAGCAGAGAGTTTTTTTTGGTGAAGAAGCGTTTGTAAATTGCAGGTTTCACCACACGAAAAAAGCGGTTTAAAGCCGTCAGAGCCAAAGTGGCTATGGACATCAAGGCCAAAGTCAAAATAGCAAACCCCTGAATGTCACAGAGCGCGCTAATGTTTATCCAATCTTCGGACACAAGTATCCCGCAAGTAATAGGGATACAGATTAGCGCCATAAGAACATCCGCGATAGCTAAAGCGAGAATAAACATACTTGCTGAAGTGCGCAGTTTGGGACTGCGAATCACCGCCAAGGAAACCAACACATTGCCAAAAAGCGCCATCATGTCAATCAAAATGCACACCGCAACCTCGATGATAATAATACCAATACTACGATGAGAGCCCTGCGACATAGAATCACTCGGCATGGCTGTTGAATTCATTGCCTGTTATGCCTAGTAATTCGAGTAGAGCGCATTGTCGCTAACAAGGGTTTAACTTTCGTTGTGTAGTAATAAAAGCGGGGTTAAAAGTTTTGACTTATTTTAATGCCAAGGTAAATGTTTGCGCCCAATCGCCGCACGGTCTCGCGAATTCAATTTGCGTTACGATCTTACCATCGATCCGTTTGTTTTGTAAATAGAAGCCCTTTATGAAAGTAGATACGGATTGGTGTCTTCTAGTTGAGTTTAATTCGTTTAATTTCTTGTTAAATGGCGGTTTTCCGCTGGAACTAAAACACAAAAAAAACGTTCAACTTTTTTCCGGCTGTATAGCATAGTTTCTGTCAGCTTTTAGTCACAACTTTGTTGACAACACTGTCGAGTAATTCTAGTATTGAAAAGCAGAAATTTGTTGAGTTCTTTGGCTGTTTCCACCCTTAAATACTTTTCCCTCTTTTGAGTGACACAAACTGATTACATTGTTTACATGTCGTGTATCCGAGCATAAAGAAACATTGAATTTTTTTCACATTTTTTTATGAGCATCACTTTCATTCCGGATTAATAGACAGTTTTCGTTTGACCTTTGCCGCTTTGTTTAATTCGAACGTGACTCTTCGAGCTTAGTGAGTTAAGAATGCTTCAACAAACAAACTTAACTTAACAAAAGAATATTGAGTCGTGGAAATATAAATGTCGTAACCAATGAAAGTTTTTCATTCCACAGCTCGTAACTTACTTAATCCCAGTCTTTCCCTCAAGAGGGTAAATAAAGAAGCCCTGGGAACTAGATTGCAAGAATTGGCCGGAGACTGCGTTCTGCTTAGCTTTCTGAAGTGGCGAGAATACATAAAATTAAGGCGAGGGTGAACATGAAGGCCGTATTTTTGCTGGGTATTATGGTTTGAATGTAAATATATCGTTCAGGTTTCAAGCGGTGAAAAATCTCTCTGCTCATTTCAGGTAGCTACGTTTTAGGCTGTTTTGTAAATTTTTTGGTGATTTTTGGGTATATTTCAGGATAAATAGTTTTTCTCAAAGGATTAATAAAATTTATGGAATTAAGAAATTTTGAAGATTTGATGTTGTTTTAAAATTAGAATTTGAAGTTAGAAATTGGTAGACGTACACCAGTTGCCCACCAACCCGGAGTGCCCTTTTGGGGGCAATCAACTGTCTGGTGGTGTTCCAAACCCCTTTTTTCCCCTTTTACACCCTCTTTAAACTTCCTAAAATTTCACTTAAATTCATGTTTACCCTCGCCTTAACTCGCGAACTGATCGGTTGAAATCGCGTCGCTTTTCGATCTCTCGACATAAAGCAAGACAAGGATAAGTCGAGTCCAGTTATACTCGGCCACTCGAAGTTCAACTGTACTCGCGTAAAAAGACGACGACTTGGGTTCGTACCTTCTCAACTATGTACGAATACAAGACGAGGACTGGTTGGGTTAGATCAATTTATATTCGGAAACCGTCGCAGCTCAAAGATGTACTCGTATAAAGAGGTCGAAGACTAGAGCTCGTGCCTTTCCGACCTATATGTACGAAAACAAGACGAGCACTGGTCGGGTACTCGTAGCTCACGAACTGAAAACGAGCGCCGGTCGAGTGCACCACTTCATTAGGGTACTCGAGTCTATGGTTGAAAACATTAATGAAACAAGACGGACAGCTTTTAATTTTGCTTAACTAGTGAACCCTTTACAAAATGTTTCTGTTTGGAATACAAACTCCATTGTTTACAATAGCGTTAAGAACATTGCCGGTACCCACAGCCGGCGGTGCCTCGCTTGTCTTGAGGAAAACGATAGAGTCACCCGCAATAGGTTTTTAGGTTGACGTGCCGTGTTTATGTCGCTGGTCTGTTGATATTTATTTATAAAGGCATGGCTAGTGGGGCACCAGCGACAGGAACATTTGTTTTAAGTTAGCGCTCTGTTGTCGTTACGTCAGGTTTTAAAATGGGTAATAACCAAACCACGGAACGTTTCCAAAGCCGAGCTTCGGTCAGTAAGAACCCCGCGGTGTCGTTCACAGGGCAGTGATAAAATATTCAGGGATTGCCTTGTTTGAATGAAAGGGAGCGTGCACAGACGTGGTGACCTTTACGGAACAGTTGGTTAAAACCAGGCAACGGGCAAGGTTTTAAAACATATTATCTCATTCTACCCACGAGAACGTGTTCTGGATTTGGAAATGAGCCCAGCGTTTGGCTCGTTGAAGAGGCTTCGGCGTTTCATGCACAAGTTTAATCTAAGTGGACTTCAACGGTAGAGACCTTTAACCAGTAACAGGGTCGATTTGCCATGACTGACAAAAGACTTAGAACAGGTAAGTGAAACGGGGTGAGTAGTTTTTATTCACCATTGAACAGGGTGCATTCAAAGGCGTTAAAGAACTTCTCACCAAATAGAACGCTTGTCAATACTTAGGAAATTCGAGAATTTTCATTGCACTAGCTAACCCAACTATCTCGGAATCATGCACAGTTCAGTTCTCGTTCATAACAAATTTCCAAGTCATTAGTAACCTGACTAAAAGATTCACTGCAGTCAATTGAGGTTCGTGTCCCTTCGAACTTATTTAACTGCCTCGTCTCTTCTCACTGAACAACTTCAACCGACTTAATGCCGACTCCGAAAACCGTGGACTTCGAAGGTATGTTAAACTGTAATATATAGCTGCAGTCATTTGATTCGAATTATGAAATTCTCTAAATTAAATCCGAGCGTTAATTTTTAATCAGTTGAAACAAACTAGGTAAGAAAGGCTATTTTCGAAACTAACTTCATTTAGTTTGAGGTAAATAAGTTTGGACTTGTAGAAATAACCTTTCAAATTATTAACCTTCATTAGCTTATTTCGAGGCTTCGTATTCGAGTGGACTAATCTGTTGGTTAATAGCGATGGCCTCCCATAGATATTCAGTAACAGGTTGTTTTTCATAAACCAACACATTTTCTTGCTTCCTTGAATAAATTGAGCACCAGTTAACAAATTTTGCTAATGAAATTTTACAGCAGCAGCACTCTGGAACCAGAAGATGAGAATTAGTACTATTATAATTATCTTTTAACAAATGGCCGGTTTGCAAACAATGACAAAATCATCACAAAGGGAATTTAAGAACAGTTTTCGAATTTTATGACAAACAAACAAACGAACCAATTAGAGCTTGAGGCAAGATTAGCGTAACCAGCGGCAAGCGACCGGAAAGCGCGGGAAAGTCGCGTGTGGTAATACTGGGTTTAACGCATGATTGGTTGGTTGAATGGAGCGGTTTTCAACTGAATGGCGTAAAACCATAACCAAAGTAATAACTTTGGCCAATCACAAAGAACAGACACAATACGCTGAACCAATCAAGACTCGAAGCAAATCACCATGTAACCGTTGCGAAGCGCGGGAAAACGTGTACTGTACGAGTGAGTCACGATTGGTTTAATTTGACGACTGACTGGATGACAGATGGCGCGAACTATTTAAGCCAATCACTTAGCGTAATGATACAAAAATTTATGACTTTCGACAATCAAGTGAAAAGCGCTCTATCGCCTCCGTTCAGATTGGTCAGCGTACCTTTTACACCGTTTTTCCACGCTCAAGATTTCACTAGTTGAAAAAGCATCAACACGGATTTCCAGGCATTGAACATTTATCGTCAATACAAAATGAAAAAAAAAAAAA